AGAGAAGCAAAAAAGTATTCTAAAAAAAATAAAAAATTACCAAAGAGAGAGAAACGCGTATTTATATAGATTCATTCCGTAGAATGAAAGAAAAAGCAAAAAAAAAAGTATTATTATTATTATTATAAAAATAAATAAATAAAATAACGAATGATGAAATAGAGAAAAATAAAATTTTGAACAAAATAAAATAAAGTGAAAATTAAGTGAATATTTTAAACGTAGAAAGTATGGCCATTATATATATATAGAGAGAGAAAGTCAAACATATATATATAACTAGCCGAATGACCCGGGCAACGCCCGTGTTTTACCCGATTGAATGTTTTTATTCAAATACTATTTGTTACAATTATAAATTGGCGCCTTAAATAAATGCATATTTTAGTTAATAACTATAGCCTATGTGCTTTATCTGTCTATGTACTGTTGGCTTCCGTAGGCGTCTCTTACTGGGAAAAAGAAAGAGAGGATTCCATTTAGTTATTAACTAATATATGCATTTATTTAAGGAGCGACCCGCTCCAACACAATAGTTACATAAACGAAAAGGCGAGTGGGGGGAGGGGAGGCAAAGGTGGCGTGAGCGTAGCCAACCAATAGGAGGGCGCCATTCCAAAAAAAAAAAAAAAGCAAACGGTGACAGAGACGAAAACTGACTGATTAAGAGATGAAGAATGACGCTCGTAACTGTATATTTAAATAGATTTTAAACCATGCCTTGTCATCGTGAGTAAGTAAGTAGAAATGATTAGGTAGTAACCTAGTAAAAAGGGCTCAAAATAATTCGTTGTCGTATGCGTGTGTGCCTGTATGTGTCTGGGGCCAGTGGACTGCTTAGCGAGTAAGGGGCAGTTGGCTCTTCGATGACCTTGGTTGTGGCATCTTGAGCACCTGATCCCGAAGGTCAGGAACGCAGGCCAGGTTTCGCCTTTAATTTTCAAGTCGAGGCGGGTCTGTTTGTGTGTGATTATATATGAGTGTGTGCCTGTATGTGTGTGTGACAATTGACAATTAAAAAATATTTATTGTCATCTTAGACAATATTACATTTCAAAGGCAATGAGAGAGAAAGAAGAAAAGAATATATACATGAAAAATGAAATATAATACATGTATGATACATATTTTACAAGGGGGGTGATGGAAGAAAACCTCGAAGCTGGAGGGTCCTGGACCAGGCGATGAGCGGGTCCTCCACCGCTTCTCCGAGCCCAACCTGGACAAAGTAGCGATAGATTCGCAACTTTGCCGACGCCAGGATGGAAAGGGCGTCGTCCTCAAGGCCGGACCCGCCGAAGGTCCAAGCCTGCAGGTCAGGGGGCCGCCCTATGATGTTGAAGGCCTCTCTAATGAGAGGCCTGATGGAGGGACAGCACCAGTAACGGTGGCTGAGGGAGCGGTCGATGGACCCGCAGGCAGGACAGGAGGGGCCGACCGAGGCAGGATGGGCCGGATGGGGCAGGGCGTGGAGGGCCAACTTGAGGGCCGCGTCGGCCTCATGGCCCGAGTGGGCGCAGCGCCGCAGCGAGGCCCAGTCGATCCTGGATGGTGGTGGACCGATGGTGGGCGACCATCTCGAGGTGAACCTTGAGATGGGCGTGGCGGCGAGGCGCGGGCGATCCAGGGCCCGTCGGGCCGAGCGGGTCGTGAGGCCGTTGAGGAACGGCGTGGCCGTCCCGCGCAGCACCACGGCCGAAGCTAATGTTGAGGATGTAGACTCCGCCCCGAAGCCCACGGCGTTCTCGAGGGTCAGCCTCCGGCAGAAGGCGCCCAGGGCCGCGGCGTCAGCCAGGGCCGAGCGCGTAGGGCGGGCGATGAGGTGGTCCTCCACGATGAGGTCCCGGACTCGGGCTCCGCGCCAGCGGGCGGGGGCCAGGAGGTCGGGAGGGCGGAGAAACCTGCAGCCGCCGATGATGGGGAGGTCCAGCAGCTGAGCTGTGGGGACCGCCCGGTGGTTGAGGCCTAGGATGTTGGAGGCCTCCTCCCACAGCTTCAGCAGCCGGAGACGGCGGGGCTGAAGGCGCGTGCCGTCCGGTGGAGGGTGGATCCAGGCCTCACCGCTGTTGCCGTTGATGAGCCAGCTGAAGGCATTTCTGCCCCCGCGGAGCGTGACCTGCACCCCCTTGAGGCAGGCGAGCTGGAGCTGGGTCGCGAGGTCGAGTAGGCCGAGGCCTCCAATGGTAACCGGCCTCGCCATGACGTCGGCGGGAAGCCACGCCGTGTGATCTGGCCCCCAGACGAACCTCGCCAGTCGGGCCTGCAGCTTGGCGATGGTCGGGGGTGATGGAAGATAGCCATGCAGGTGGTGCTGAATGGTGGACCCCACCAGCGTGTTCGCCGCTCTTGCTCGCCCGACGAGGGAGAGGCCGCGGGTGAAGGGCGTCCATCTGCGGCAGGCAGTCTACAGGAGGGCCAGGAGATGCTGCTCCCGGTGGGCGACGGTGCTCCTGGGGGCGATGTCGAGCCCGAGGACCCTGATGAGGTGGTCGACCAGGAGGCGCCGAGAGGGGAGTCGCCGCGGTTACGCCAGGCGCCGCACCAGAGGCCCGCGCTCTTCCGGAGGTTCACGCCAATACCGGAGGCCTGCTTATATTCTTCGAAGAAGGTCGCCACCCGCTCGAAGTCTCTGTCGCGATGGTATGTGGGTATGTGTGTGTTTGTTTGTGTGTATGCCTGTGTGTCTGCATATGTGCTTGTGCGTATATGTGTGTGCTTGTGTGTATGTTTGTGTATGAGTGACAATTGACAATTAAAATAAGTTTATTAACACCTAGTCTACAGAAAAATGAGAGTTTACAATTAGAGTTAAAAATAAACAGAAATATTTACACCAGACGAGGCCTTCTCCGAAGGGACGTCTGGATCCTATCAGGAGCTACAAGCTGTCTTGAGTTCAGACAAGCCCTTGCCAATTCTGGATTTCTTGTTCTCAACATGCTCTATGACAATGTTGAGGACATTGGAGAGAATTAGCTTGTGTTCAGGGGATAATTGCTCGAGGAGACACTTTCTATCTTAGCTGTATAGGACCGCGAACTTCCTCCCTGAATATCCCTTCCTTATATAGGGGGCTCAGGAAAGTTACATCGTTCAGTTAGTCGAAAATCTCCATTATCTGATTCTCACGATCCTTGTCTGTAAGGATAGAAGTCTCAATGGGTGCAGGAGCGGTCTGGAGCTCGTGGGTTGTCGAGGCAGATAGTGGAAGCGGAGGGGTGTCTGCCTGTGTGTGTTTGTGTAGGTGCTTGTGTTTGTATGTATGTGTTAGTGTGTATGTGTTTGTGTGTACGTATATGTGTATATTAACGTTTATATGTGTCGATTTTTATTGTACTGATATCACAATCATGGGTTCGTTACTCTAAGGGTATATACGTTTACACCTAGAAGACCCCCTGTATATATATATCCCGTAGAGGGTATTAACCATCATGCGAAGGGTACAGTCAAATCTCACGACATGGACT